GTGACAACCAGCTGGATTTTTTTTAGAAAGAAAGCAAAAGTTATTTTGTTGTCTTTTCACTTTTTTTTCATGTGCGTCGGCTTAAATTTAGGCCCGTTGTAAATTATTGAAAAAAGTGGATTTTGTTGTCACCGTGAAAATTTTAGTTAATTTGACTAATTATAGAATTTTTTTTTTTTTGGGATCATTGTGTTTTGTCATATAATCATCTTTTTGGGTAATTTTTGTAGCTGGTTAACACTCAAATTATCCGGAATTGAATCTAAAAAAATAATCCTCTTTTTTTGTTTGGTTGGTGATCTTGTTTTTTACTATCCTAATTTTATCCACATACCGATTTATTCTTTTTCAAACCAAAAATGGTTAGATATCTGAGTGTTGCTATGCTTTGGATATGCTTTTTTAAAGATGTTTTAAATCTTGTTGGTTATTAATATTAATGTATTCACCTTATGTATGTATAATTTAAATGCAAAAAAAATGAAAGTGGATCGACGCGGTTTTGAGATAGTGTCATTGGACACGTGTTTGTAAGATGGAATCGTAGGAGTTTGAACACAAGCGACCAAAGTCAAATAGATTCGGATTTCGAAGTATGAAGAAGCCGTCGAGGAAGCTGATTCTTAACTTTTACGTATCGCTTTCGTTTTTTTATTTCTTGTGATTTCTTTAGCCCTTCCGTTCATGTCTCCTCCTCCACTATACTTACTACTAGTTAACAGTTTATTGTCATAGTCAATGACAAAATTACATTCATTGCACAAGCAAACCACGTAAGCTTCTTCTCCCTTTTTCAATAAATAAATCACATACTCACCATATTGTTCTATTTTTATTTGATAATAGACTTGTTTTCTAACAAATAAATTTCAGATTTTTCTAGACAAATTTTGATGATATTTGTGACATAAATCAACTCTCTAAATATATGCAGGTATACCATTACCATCTAGGGATAATTGACTATATAACACCAAAAAATTGTATCTTAAAAGCTAGCCAAATTCTCTTTATGTGGCAATATTGTAGCCACTAGATATAGGGTTTTTAGTTAATTTTTTGGATATAACTTTTTTTTTTTGTTATATCACAAATTAACCATACCATCTATTAGCTAGAACTCAACAAAAAAAATCTTAAAACGATTGAAAACATAGTAAAAAGACCTTTGTGAACATGTGAGGAATGTTGTCTAAGGTATTTTCAAAGTTTTTTTCATAGATTTTGGAGGAAACCTTAGTAGTAGAACCGTTTTATTGATTAGTCAATATGGTTATTTATACAAAAATATAACTTGTTGAACAAATTCTTTACTGTTGACAAAAAAAAAAAAATTCTTTACATATTTGATATTTATACACAAATATTAACTTTTCTAATCTTTGATATTGACAATATTTCCATAATCTTGGTTGGTCATCTTGATCATTCAATCTTGGTCGATTTTGACATCTCGATCTCCCAATATATTCGAACAACGATTGTGAATTTTCTTTTGGGTTTTTGAATATGGATGTGAACTACTATATGTTTTTGAGTGAACTTGTTTTGTCTCAAGTCAATCGTTGGATATTCATGCCTCATGCTGAAATGACCACGTCACGAACCAGACCAAATAAGGTAACTGAAATGTAAAATTTTTCAGGATCACAAGATATGATGTTGAGAATTGTGCATGTGATCGAGAGTTTTATGGACTTTGTCGTTGACGACTCATTATTGGACCTCCGGCGAAAGGCTTCTAGTGCTAGTGTTTTGGTATTTGGGATTTTGCGTCAGGCTTTCGCAGTTTCTTCTCGTGTAACATATTCGAAACGAACAACAACATCGTCATCACTTCATCGCTCTATTAGCCTTTGTGTTTTTTTTAGTCGATGGACTGAAAATTGTCATGAATTATGATCCAATGTTTTTATCTTTTTTTGTCATAGGATCATTTCTCTAGGTTTATAATGTTTCGATTTGTAATCCTAAAAGTTTTCATTTTGAATGAAATATTTACATTTTTAGAAAAAACAAAATGTTGAGAATTGAGATTGTTAATGGGCTTTATTTTTTTTTATGCCCTTTAGTGGGCTTAAAGCCTTATTAACAACATCATTCTCCACGCAGTCTTTTAATTCTCGAAATATCACCAACCAAAAAACCTTGGGCTACACGTCCAATAATATCAACTAATTTACTTTATTACCCTCACCTTTCCTGATTTTTTCCGAAAATATTCTTTAATACTCTAGACAGAATCGTCATTTCCTTAACTAAATATATTGAGTATATTTTGTTTATATATCCTTGACCCTTGCGAAAGACAATGGCCACTGAACACTCTCGATCTATTATCTTTTTTGCTTAAGCTTTTTCTCCATCGTCGTTTCTGTGACTCTCAAGCGTTTCCCGTGATCATCAACTTGAGATAATGGCCAGAAAGTTCTTCGTCGGAGGCAACTGGAAATGCGTAAGTGATCTTCTTCTTTGCTTAATCTCTCGTCTACGCTTTTATAGTTTGTCGCTGATAGTAGATCAATCCTTGTTCTGTTTGTTTCCTCGTCGATCAAGTGAAGTAACCTGGAAATAGATCGGATTATCATGATCGGAAGATCGGTTTTGATGTTTTTCTTTCACTGTTTGCTTTGATTGACGTTGAATTTCAGATCCGTGATGTGATTAGATGTGTTTGATCTAATACGGATGGTTTGGGTTTATCGATTCGATGCCGGATCTCTGTTTTTGATTCTCAATTTTGATTTACGAATTTTCCATCGATTGATTATCGTGTTCAAGCTATGATGGATCTGTGTGTGGATTTTGTAGGCTAAACTATTTCAGATTGATTCTCTTCTTTTTTTTGTGTGTCTGAGATTCGGATCACGCTCTTGTTCCTGGGATAAAGATGCTTATGTTTTTGTTCTGGGTTTTGAATCTATGTAGAACGGAACTGCTGAGGAGGTGAAGAAGATTGTGAACACTCTTAACGAAGCTCAAGTACCATCACAGGATGTTGTAGGTAAGTGAAACATACCCGTTGCTCTGATGGTTTGCATGTCTATGAATTCTTAGTGATGTGAATGTGGCTAGCAATCTGGACCTTGAAAACGCTTGAATAGGACATGCTAAGAACCTATTAGAAGAGTTTTCTGAATTGCTTTTATTCTAGAAAAAAAACATTGTCTCACATAGATTTGTGTGTACAAACAACAAACAAACTTGTTTCGCTGTATATGGCTGTTATATAGTGAAGCTGATGGTAGATCAACTGTTGATTTCTTTCTGCATACAATATCAATCAGATTAAGTACTTGTTGTTAGTCGAATATTCTTTTAGTCTTGTGCACGTGTTCATCATATTAGTTATGGTTCGGTCTATGTAAATATGACTGTTAATGGCTTAGTAACTGACTGGCATTTTAACTAATGCAGAGGTTGTGGTTAGCCCTCCATATGTTTTTCTTCCTCTGGTTAAGAGCACATTGAGGCCGGACTTCCATGTTGCCGCACAAAATTGTTGGGTTAAGAAAGGAGGTGCTTACACTGGTGAAGTGAGGTGAGATTCTCCCCTACTATGTAGCTGTTTTAACTTTATGGCTTTATGCAGTAAATGTATATGGTGTTTGAAGCTGCATATGATTGTGTTAAACAAATCAATTTCTTTGTTTTGTTTGCTCTTTTTTTATCTCGTCTAACAGTTGAGAATGAAAGCATGATTGGATAAGTAGTGACTGGTTATATAAGCAGGTGCAAAATGATTCACCTATCCAATTCCAAGTTTTCATGGAGAAAACTTTTATCTTTTTGGGTTACTTTTTATTCTATCGTGTTGTGCATTATTTCCTGCCCTTATGCCTTGTGTGATTTGTGTATGCAGTGCTGAGATGCTTGTGAACTTGGATATCCCATGGGTTATCCTTGGTCACTCTGAAAGGAGGGCAATCCTCAATGAAACCAACGAGGTTGGTGACTTTTCATGATAAAAATAATAATCTTGTGTACCATTTGGATTTGAGAGCCATGAATTTGATTTTGACATCTATCCTACATTTGTAGTTCGTCGGAGACAAGGTTGCCTATGCACTTGCTCAAGGTTTGAAAGTGATTGCTTGTGTTGGTGAGACTCTTGAGCAACGGGAGGCTGGTTCGACCATGGATGTTGTTGCTGCCCAGACTAAAGCTATTGCTGGTATGCATATTGTCAAACACTTTTCTTTTCTTTTCGCTATCCTAGCTCGTTCTCTTTGACAACAGGGACCTGTTATGATGATATCAGTTACTGTTTCTACTTGCTCTAAGTGCATAACTGTTTCTCTTTATCTTTGAACTGCGCAAAAATGTTTTGTTGTTTTTTTTTCTCATAAAGAATTCTTGTTTTTTTTTTTGTTGCAAATGGCAGATCGGGTATCAGACTGGACCAATGTTGTCATAGCCTATGAACCAGTGTGGGCTATTGGAACCGGAAAGGTCGCTAGCCCAGCCCAAGCTCAAGAAGTAAGTTATTGTTAATGCTTGTGAACACTTTAACACTGTTTCATATTGTAATGACTACATGGTTACCAATACTGTTTTCTCTTACGGGATCTTGTTTCGTTTATGAACACAGGTACATGATGAGCTGAGGAAATGGCTTGCAAAGAACGTCAATGCTGACGTCGCTGCTACAACCCGCATCATTTATGGAGGTAGACTATATAATACCATATCATATGACAGTAACATTATTTTGTTTAAATTCCTCCAGTAAGTTCTCTATGTTACATAAATCTTAATCAATGGAAATTGTTATCAGGATCCGTCAATGGTGGTAACTGCAAGGAGCTAGGTGGTCAAGCCGATGTAGATGGTTTCTTGGTTGGTGGTGCTTCTCTAAAGGTACATATTGAAAGGTTTTCCCTTGTAATAATATCTCGTTTGCTTCTGTCAAAACTTCGCCTAATGGTTTTTTCATTCTTGCAGCCCGAGTTTATAGACATCATTAAGGCTGCAGAGGTGAAGAAAACCGCGTAATGAGTTCAGAAAGCAGTGTCGAATCCGTTTGCTTTTTCAGTCTTTAACTTCGAAAAAAATGAATAAGTTGGTATTACGATACTTTTTGCTTGAGTTGTATTTGGCAAAAGTCTTTCTCTAGTTGTGTTGTTTCGAGAACGCAACAAATCATTTTACTTCGCCATTTATTTTGCTACCAACTTTGCT